TAAAACATGTAAACATGTCAAAATTATACCTAAAGAAATATTTTAAACTCTTTTTATTAAATAGTACATAGTATTTAAAACTATAGCAAAAGAGGTAAATATGAACAGAATAGTATTTTTTTTCTTTTTTCGAAGATATTTATTTGAGAGAAAGAGCGAGAGGGAGAGAGAGGAAACACAAGCAGGGAGGAAGGGCAGAGGGAGAGGGAGAAGCAGGTTCCCTGCTGAGCAAGGTGCCTGACGCTGGACTCGATCCCAGGACCCCGGGATCATGACCTGAGCCAAAGGCAGCCGCTTAACCAACTGAGCCACCCAGGCGCCCTAGAACAATATTTCTTTCTTTAAAAACTGCTCTTTTAAAAAAGGCAATTACTTTTTAAGAATTAATTTACAAAATAAGAATAAAAACATAATACTTTGCTTTTTTCGTAATACCTCCCTTACAATATGCTAAGGCTTGAAAAATAATGTACAAAAATATTTGTTGTATATAAACAAATGAAGAAACCAGTAAGACAGTAGAACATTAATTTTAAGATTTCCTTAAACTTAGATCCAACCAGATTTGAAAAATTACTTATGTTTGCTATTGACGCTGCCCAACATTATCTGTACTATCCAGACAGAACGCATGGGCATCATCACCTCTTTCCAACATCCAATCAAAAATTACTGTTCCTTATTCCTTGACAATATCTATTCCACATGGTCTTTCTTTTCCATTTCCACTGCTACTACTTGGATTAAATTCTGATTACCCCATACCTAACACCTCCTACAACCTTCTGAGCTCCCTGACTCCTCATTCCATTTCTCTAATGATATACGTTCACACATCATTGCTAGAGCGATTTCCCTAAAGTAAAATTGCTTCAAACAATTAAGAGCACTTCCTACCCTCTCCAAGACCTCTACCATATTCCTAAGGAAATATTCATTTTCTATCAATTGGCTTTTCTAGAAATACCTTTTAATTCTTTCTTTACCTATCCAAATTCTACTCATCTTTCAAAACCTCAAATAATCCCTCCTATGTTCTGTATGTACTTCTCAGTGCTATAGAACCCTGATTAAGAAGTAATGATTTACTCTCCTGGCAGTTATCACTTTTACCTGGCAGTGTTGGTTATCATTACTCATATCACTTATATACATACCTTATAGATACGACTATAAACAGAGGATGGGGACCATGTTGTTTTCTGATTCCTCCTTTGTGACTTGCTGTTACATAGTTTAACAAGGACCAAAATAAGTAATATCTTGTAAAACAAAAATAAGTGCTCTGGGGCCTTAAACTAGGAAGGAACATATTCTTAGAATCAAAGAAATATAGATCAGGGCACCTGGGTGGCTCAGTTAAGCGCCTGACTCTTGATTTTGGCTCCGGTTATGATCTCAGAGTCGTGAGATTAAGCCCTGCATCAGGCTCCACACTGGGCATGGAGACTGCCTAAGATTCTCTCTCTCCCTCTCCCTCTGCCCCTACCCACTCCCCTCACCCCCAGCACTCGTGCACCCACACTCACTCTTAAAAATATATATGTATTTTTTAATATATCTATATATATACTATTAAATATTAAACTATTTTATTTTAAAGTATTTTTAATTTTTAAAAATATTTTAAATATTTAAACTTTTAAAATATTTTAAATAAAAAATTAAAGTTTTAAATATTTTTACTAAATTTTTTTTTTAAAGACTCTATTTATTTGACAGAGAGAGACACAGCGAGAGAGGGAACACAAGCAGGGGGAGTGGGAGAGGGAGAAGCAGGCCTCCCACCGAGCAGGGAGCTGGATGCGGGGCTCGATCCCAGGACCCCGGGATCATGACCTGAGCTGAAGGCAGACGCCCAACGACTGAGCCACCCAGGTGCCCCTTTAATAAATTATTATTAAATTTTTATTTAATATTTTAATAAATATTAAATATTATAAAACAATACTCATATATTATTTTATACAGATATAGATCAGAAAGGACATTGGGGATGAATTGGCACTTGAGATGGGTCTTTAAAAGTTGACAGGCCTTCCACAAGAAAGAAAAAGTGGAAAAAGCATGTCAGGAGAATAATTATGAACAAAGCAGAGAGAAGTACAAGGCAATTTCAAATCATTGGCAGAGGGGTATCATGTAGGGGTAGAGAAGAAGAAAATCAAACATTTGCTAAATAACCGGTGCTCACAGATTTTCATAATTTCAGGTAAGTCAATCCCTACCTTAATCAACAGCCTCATTATTTCTTGCTTGAAACAATTAAGAGCATCCTAATTGTCTCCCTGCTTTTGGTATCCCCCTCCCCCTTGCAAACTATCATCCATATCATTGCCAGATTAATTTTGAAGATTTTATTTATTTACTTGAGAGAGAGACACAGAGATAGTGAGAGAGCACAAGCAGGGAGGAGAGGGAGAAGCAGGCTCCCTGCTGAGCTGGGAGCCTGACGTGGGGCTCAATGCCAGGACCCTGAGATCATGACCTGAGCCGAAGGCAGACGCTTAACTGACTGAGCCACCCAGGCGCCCCTGCCAGTTTAATTTTAACAAAACACAATTATGATCCTGAAATGCCTCTGTTAAAATTTTTCAGTGACTGCCAACTATTCACAAAATAAAGCCTAAACTCCTTACCATAGCATTTGGAGTTCTTCACAATTAAGATCTCTCCCAGCCTTGTCCCTCAAAGCCTCTCTCATATCCTTAATTAAAACCATACAAAATGATTCTCCTGTCTTTTGTACATTCGATACATCTCAAGCTTCCCTTGCTTATGCTGGGTTCTGTGCATGAAATTCTCTCACCTCCCAAATTCCACTCAGCAATCTTTCACTCATCTTTCAAGACCCTACTCAAGTATCATTTCCTATGTGAAGCCTGCCTGACAATTCTCTCCTCTAACAGTGTTGAAGCTTTTCCAATTTCATATAGCACTCTTCCAATTGCACTTGAATTAGCTGTTTGCATACTCCTCTCTAAGCAGACTACATCAAGAGCAAAGCAAGGAACCCATTTCACCTAACATTTTGTATTCTCAGTGCCTAACATAGTGCCTGACAAGAGTAGGTATTTAATAAGTGTTTACAGGGAGAAGGAAATGAATGGATGCAGGCAAAGGTATTACTCACTTAATGCTATATACTGTTAAGAGACTTTACTACTAGGGTAGTTTGTCCTTACTTTGGCAGGCCAAAAGAGTCACTGACAGTACATGCAGAATTATCTTTCAGAAGATTTCAGCTGGCAGTAATATGGAGAGGGAAATGGAGTGAAGAGAGGCACAAAGCTGGGAGAGCCCTGCAATATTTTAGTTGAAATGTAACAGGAGGGCCTAACCTTGGATGGTGATGGGGGCGACTGGGAAGGACAGGACAGAAACATGCATGGCACATTACAGAGGTCAACAGATGGGAATGGATCTCAGACTGAGGGCAGGAAGGAAAAATGAGGAATCAGATTCAGCACTGAGACTCTGAATATGGGTGACAGAGAGGTCCAGTAACAGACATGGGAAGCCTGGTGTGAAGCAAGCAGCTGGAAATACGGGCCCAAAGGATAGAGAGAATGTCACAACTGAGATGTAAGGTTGAGAGAGATCACTTTAGAGGTGACTGTTGAAATGAGATTAGGAAAAACCTAAAGAAACAGAAAAATTTCAAAGATAAAACCTTGTGGAGGTCGTTATTTAAGAGTAAGAGGAGGAAAAAAAAGAAATTATGAAGGCGTAATTGAAGAAGTAGAACTAGAACACCGGGTCACAGAAACCGAGAGAATTGCAAAAAAGGGAAAATGACAACTACTACAGTGATCAAAGAGTATGAAGCCTAATAAAAGACAATTAAAAAGTCATAAGTATTTTTCAAAAGAGCAAAGACACCAGTGGGGCAGGGTGAGAAAAAAAGAATGCGTGCTAAGGAAGCATCAGCAGGGAGCAAAGCCAACTACTCCAGGAAGAAAAGTACAGACTACTTCATAGTGTATGTCCTATTCATTTTTCTAAAATACAGATCCCTGAAGAATTCAAACCTTTTCCCTGATAATTTGAGTCTGTAAATTGATTGAAAATAATGAACTTGACTTCTCTGTACACAGAGTCTTAGAATGGCTTTTTCTCTCCCATCCCTGGTGTTAATGCAGTTCCTGCTTCTTTAAATAAATTCTATCTCCAAAGATCTATATTTTAAGACATTTTTATTCTGAATTCTGTAATGTGTGAAAGTTTCAAAATAATATAAACATCCATTTTTTTTATATAATACACCATTCTGAACTCTGCTTGGTCATCTTTAGAGGGAATAAATATATCTCTATATATCATCTAATGCTTATTTTCTGTAACTAGAATGAAGAAAGTGCTATCAATAATAAATATCTTTTATTCCTGAAGAGGTTCAACATTTATAAGAAGACAAAAAACATATTAGAACTACTTATGAACTCATAAGGAGGTCATTAAAGAAACTAAAGAAGCTAAAATAAAGTTGCAGCAGTAATACATACAGAAGGACTATTTTCAATTTTTTTCTTCCTTCCAAGATTTTATTTAAATTCAAGTTAGTTAACATATAGTGTAGTACTGGTTTCAGGAGTAGAATTTAGTGATTCATCACTTAACACGCAACACCCAGTTGCTCATCCCAGCACATGCTCTTCTTCTTAATGCCCACCTCCCATTTAGCCCATCCCCCCACCCACCTTCCAGGACTATTTTCAATTGTTAACAAATGAAAGTGTCCATGTTATTCTAATTATTTTCTTAAAAGTCTTTTCCTGGGGCGCCTGGGTGGCTCAGTCGTGAGGTGTCTGCCTTTGGCGCAGGTCATGATCCCAGGGTCCTGGGATGGAGCCCCGCATCCGGCTCCCTGCTCAACGGGAAACCTGCTTCTTCCTCTCCCACTCCCCGTGCTTGTGTTCCCTCTCTCGCGCGCGCTCTCTCTGCGTCAAATAAATAAATAAATAAAATCTTTTAAAAATAAATAAAAGTCTTTTCCTTACCTCAGAGATGTGGCTAGATAAAACTGTACTTCCAATTTTCTCCAAACAGCTTTGACCTATGCTTCCATCTCATGAATTCCAAGACAGTATTAAACTGATGCATATTTTCATCAATCTGTTAAAAAGAAAAAAAAAAAAGAACTTACTTAGGGCGCCTGGGTGGCTCAGTTGGTTAAGCGACTGCCTTCGGCTCAGGTCGTGATCCTGGAGTCCCGGGATCGAGTCCCACATCGGGCTCCCTGCTCAGCGGGGAGTCTGCTTCTCCCTCTGACCCTCTTCCCTCTTGTGCTCTCTATCTCTCATTCTCTCTCTCTCAAATAAATAAATAAAATCTTAAAAAAAAAAAAAAGAACTTACTTAGACTAAAACATGTGGAAGCAATACTAAACATTTGTCAGGTGTAAAATTATACATTTTTGACATAAAGTCAATGAAAATTCTAAAGTACTTTAACCTATCACTTTACCATTTTCCCAACCTCTGCACAAAGAAGTTTCCCATTTTGCATATTTTCAACTTCACAAACGTTAACAATAGTTCTGTGGAAAAAATTACTTGCATGTAAAATTTCTGTATTAGCTTGAAAAACAGGAACAGCTAGAAGCAGCACTAAAATTTATAATCCTACAATATTCAAATTCCTACTTAGGCAAAAATATATTTGACCACTCACCTAATACCCCTATTTTCACTTTTTATCACCAAAATCTCAGTAAGCAGTTTTAATTTCAGTCAACCTGCTATCTCGAATATTAAGAACTGAAGGGGTCAGGAATTAATGGCACTGCTTGGTCTAAGCCCAGGGGATAGGTTACAACTACGTTACCACTGACATTCAGTTCCCCTGCTGCTTTGAGACAGAGTTCATAAATCCAAAAGAGAGAAACAATAAAAAATTTTGATTTAAAAAGGCATGTTGTTTACTTAGAGATTTTAAAAATAATTTTGTTGAATGTATCTTTTAACTGAAACTTCAAATAGGAAAGTACTGTTTCATATTTTAAAAGGAAAAATTTTAAGCTGTGTGAACACTACCTATGTCCCACTGCAAGGTCAAAATGCCTTTGTCTTCAAGTCCATTTAGAAGTATCACTTGTGTCACACTGAGGTCTAGTAGTCTTGGCAATAATGACTGAATTCATGTAAACTGGGGCAACCTGAACCAGTCTAGCATATCAGATAGCAGCCTTTCTTAAACACAAGAGTCTCCACTCAGCAGACAGGCTGCCACAGGACCATGCTAAATCTTTCATGGTCCAACTAAAGACAGACTGACCCTGAAAGCAATTAGTAATGCTTTGTCTGCATGTAGGAGCCTTAAATAGTCTTCTCAATGCACCAGTTACCCACAACTTAACTGGGTACTCACAGGACTATAAAACTCTGAGACCATCACTCAGAGAAGTGAGGGCAGGAATGGAGATAGGGTGTTTAGTGATTTTTTCCTGAGATGTTCATAGTCTTAAAAAATGTCCCTTAGATAATCAAAAAATAAATGCACCGTGTTTTGATTTTAGAAATGACAAATATCTTCCTCCAAAGCCACTCTTGGCCAACAACTCCATTCTTCTCTAACAGTGTATGTGGAAGAAAAGAGGGAAGGCAATCATCATATTAAACAAAGCTCAGATTAACCCATTCTCATAAAGGTTAAAACAATCCATCAAAAGGACTATGTTTAAAAATATATGGCCCGATTCTAATTCCACCAGTTATTTCCAATGGAGAAAATAAAATCTGACCATCTACTAACCATTGTTTATCATGGCACTACTTATTACAATACTATGAACTTGTGTTTAACAACCACAATACTATGAACTTGTGTTTAACAACCAGTTTTCTAGTCAAAACTGAACACTAAATAAGTATAATAATAATTTTCATCAAAGATTTTGTGTCTAAAACTTTCAAGCCTGTTAGTTCTAGAAAACATATTAAGGAAAAGGTAATTCTTTTAAAAACACATCAGGTCTTCTTAACAACAGAATAAGTGAAAAATCAAACCTTTCTAGATATATTCTAATATTTTATAATTGAGCTAACATTAGAATTTCCTCAAAGTTCGTAAATATTTGCAAACAAATATGAAAAGTGCATTTTAATCCCACATTGTCTGTACAAAATGCCTTTATTTGCCATCAAAATGTACACATCCCTCTTGGCTTTCAAAATTATTAAAGTCATTAAACTTTAAAACACCAAGATACTTAAAAGATCATTAACCATACAGAACCCATCAGTGACAAACATCAACTGTGGATATTATAGTTATCTCTGACACTGAGGTGTTAGAACACCACCAATTCACTTTTATATTAGTAAGATTTGCTTTATAATAAAGAACAGTGTACATGCTTTTGATAAATACACTCAGTCTAAGACAAAATTTAAGATTACTTTTGAGTTGGTACCAGATGACAAAAAGTAGTCATTTCCTAGTATTCACAAACTCAGCAATACTGACTGCATACTTTTTCTTTCTACCACTCCAAATACTCTCCTCCTCAACAGCATTTCTCTTCTCTAAGCACCCCCATAAAAAGTACCCCAAATATCATACAAATACTGCTGTTAACACTATCACTGCATTCATATAACCCTTTTAAAAAATCAGAACCAAACTACAGAATATTTGACAAAACATCCCAGCTGGGCTCTTAAACCAAAGGCATTACTGTTAAAATCTTTAGTACATTAACTGGAAAATTCAAACATCATGCTTCAGAAAAATATAATACAGTTTTAGCTGTAATTCAAATGAACAGTATAATTTAGGCTTATCATGCACTTCTATAATACAGCAGGTAACCACATAACACAGAAAGGGAGGGTCAACTTATGGATGGCTTGTGTTTTTTTATTTCATTTGACAGAGAGAGACACAGCGAGAGAGGGAACACAAGTAGGGAGAGTGGGAGAAGCAGGCTTCCCGGCGAAGCAGGGAGCCCGATGCAGGGCTCGATCCCAGGACCCTGGGACCACGACCCAAGCCGAAGGCAGACGCTTAACGACTGAGCCACCCAGATGCCCCGGATGGGTTGTGTTTTAAAAGATCACTTATAACTTGAATGTAAGCTTGATTTTGAAACTTAAGATGCCTTTCTCATAAAACCAAAGATATAAACAGTAATATTAAACCTGTAATGCAAATGAACTACAGTACACAATTCTATCATAGCACTCTTCTTAAGCATATTTCCATACCAAACTCTAACTTTTTATTCATTGTTGTAATTCTAGAATCTAGCACAGCTGATGACACAGAGTAGGACTTTTTGGTGAAGTACTGAATAGCAACAACTCAATGATATGAGAAACTGGCTTGTCTAGAAAACCTTACCTATCTTAATTATATCAGACAACCAAAAGACAAGGGGGAAAAGCTTCTTCCAAAAGAGATATGTGAAAAAGATTCTTAACACCAGGGTGAGAAAGCTCTGATCTAAGCCAACTGTGGCAATTTCCATTCTACCTGCCAATGTGTGGCTTAGCTATAAGCATCTGATGCAATTCCAGCCAGTAAGACAAGAACCTAAGTTTGCTGGGAAACTAAGCACTGGGAAAAGTGTTTCTGGGAAAGGTTTTTCTGGTTGATGAAAAAAAGACACCTAAGTGGGGGTGCCTGGGTAGCTCAGGTCATGATCCCGGGATCCTGGTATCGAGCCCCGCATTGGGCTTCCTGCTTGGCGGGAAGCCTGCTTCTCCCTCTCCCACTTCCCCTGCTTGTTTCCTCTCTCGCTGTCTCTCTCTCTGTCAAATAATAAATAAAATCTTTAAAAAAAAAAAAAGACACCTAAGTGAAATCATCCCCCCACCACCTTTTTTTCCGGGCAACTCTGGGTTTGGGTTTGTCAAGTAAAATGATGGCCACCATCAGGACCATGAAGGAGGTGACAGCCTAAGAAGACAAACCAACAGATTAAGAATGGTTGCATTAAACAACAGAAAGAATCTGGGTCTTTGGTGATGTTATGCTTGAATAAATCCTAAAACCGTATTACTATGTTGGATCTTTTTATTATATTATATTACATTATATATTAAATCCTTTTATTGTTTTCAATTACCAAAAGTAACCCAGCAAATACCATAATTTGGAAACTAATTTACTACATTTACTTCCATGAATTCAACTGTTATTTATACAATGATAACTCATCTAAATTTATATCTCAATCCAGATGCTTCTTTTGACCTAGATACATATTTCTGAAGTACTAAATATTAGAAGAAATCAAACAATCAACATATTCAAATCAAACAATCAAAATACCCAAAATGTGGAATTCCACAGAGACAGAAAATAGATTAATGGTTGTCTGGGACTGGGGGTGGAGGGCGGGAATGGAGAAAGACACCAAAATGATGATCTACAAAAGAAAAAAAGGGGCAAATTAGAATTCATCAAAATTAAAAATATTCCTTCAGCAAAAGGCCCTGTTAAAAAGATGAAAAGACAAGATACAGGATGGGAAAAGATATCTGCAAGCCTTATATGTGACAAAGGACCCAACTAGGATATACCAAATCTCAAAATTCAACGTTAAAAAAAAAAATCACCAAGAAACTGGGCAAACAATATGAAAAGAGATTTCACTGAAGAAGATACCTGGATGGCAAATCAGCACATGAAAAGATACAAGTCAACAACACTAGCCATCAGGGAAATGCAAATTAAGACCCGGCTGAGATATCACTATATACCTACTGGAACGACTAAAATAAAAAACATGACAATACTAAATACTGGCAAGAATATGAAGAAAATAAATCTTTCAGACATTGTTGGTGAGAATGTAAAATGGCACAGCCACTTTGGAAAATAGTTTGGAAGTTCCTTTAAAAATGAGATACACACTTACATGTAACCAAACACACTCATGGTTGCAAAGAAATGAACATGAATATTAGCAGTTTTATTTTTAATAACCAAAAACTGGAGAAAACAAAACGTCCTTCAAAAGGTGAATAGTTAAACAAACTGGTATATCCACACAACAGAATCCTACTCAGCAATAAGAAGGGGTAAACTTAGTGATACACAAAACAACTTGGGTGAATCTCAAAGGATTAGGCTGAGTGCAAAAAGGTCACATACTATATGATTCCATT